GTTGATGGTTCCGTGTAGCAACTCTACAGCTTTGTTTTCTCTTCACCGAAGCTGAAAACTCACGTGAGTATGGCTCTCCGTTACAAAGGGCATATATTTATATTAGTATAACGTATTATAAAGTTTGCAACCGAGCGCGTTGACTTCACTGACCTCACTGACTCTACCAAATCCTATACAGAATATTATATTACTTTTTCAACTTTGTACCATACTCCTGGGTTCGAAATTACATTATGGGGATACATTTTACGTACACGCGTAACGTATGAATGAATACGCGGTCATAATCCCTCCCGAAATGTATTGATTTTCTAATATTTGCTCGTGGAGAGATGGTAACATTATGTACTCGTGAAGAAGATGATAAAGTCTGGGATCGCGTCTTTCATTCAGACAGAAGACATGTTTTATTGTTGATGGTAGAGACAGCAGAGATAGTCAAAACAAGTAGTGGAAAAGTACAGGCTTCTGCACATTGATAGAATGATGAGTTTAACAAAAGTTACTTAAAAGTGTTATGAAATCTCACACTAGTAAAAAAGATAAATTACGTTTCATTTATGTGTGTTGTTTCTCATGGATGTAGCCTCATCACTAATCCTCTTCCATAGTATCTTATCTCTTGATATCTAATGGTGAAAGGAAGTCAATATTAATACAAAGTCAGAGATTTCCATCTTTTTTAAATTAGATATTTTTGTGTGGATGTTTGATCGGCTTTTAATTATTATTTGGTGGTCATTTAACAACATCTTCTCTTTTTCTCCCCAGAGCCATCCTTGATCCTCTTTCTTGCCCTCCCACCTTTGTCCACTTCCCCGTTTTCACATCTGCTTTTGATTGATACTGTTTTTTGACTCCTGCATTTCCACCTGACCACAATCTCTGTCTCCTCCCCTCTGATTTGTACGCCTCACTGATTGATACACCGTTTTTTGACCCTTGCCTGTCCACCTGACCAAGATTTTGTCTTTCATAATCATAATGGAGGATAAATGGGATGAAATGTTTCTTCTCACAGAGAAGATTTATCCTGAGGGAATGAATACATTTCAGACAGACAGAACTTGAGGAAGTACTCCCATAAATTTACTGCAAAGGGTAATAATGCATTTGCTATTATGGTTATACATGTCTTATTGTTCTTCTGTTGTTTTATTATAATTCAGTTGTTATAGATGGTGAGCTGTTCCATGACAAAAGAAGAGCCATTAAAACAAGACACGAGGCACAGAAACTATTTAAAAAAGTTTCATGCTACACCCACGGGAGGCCACACTGGCGTGAAAAAACCTGCCATTTGTTCCAGGTTTTACTGGTGTGGCAGGACTGATGACAATATGGTATGTTTTTTCCTTTTATTTGTCTGTACAATTCCCTTCCCTGTCTGTTCTTTTTAAGATTTATGAGTGTGACCAATGTCAACGTGAGGGAAAGTCTCTGGGTTCAGTTGCACCACTCCAAACAATAAAAGTAATTGTATTTATTGTTCCTATCCAACCAGCAGTGTACATTAATGCATTCAAATCCTGTTTGCTTGTTAGGTGTCTGTTTGGGAGCTGTTGGGGCCCTTCCCCAAAACTACTGATGGCTATCAGTACATATTTACAGCCATGGATTATTTTTCAAAGTAGGTAGAGGCTTTCCCATTTAAAAACTAAGAAGGCTGTGGAGGTTGGGCAAAGACTTTGCTTTATAATATACAGGGGTGCCCAAAATGTATCCTGTCTGATCAAGGGCGGGAATTTGTAAATGAAGTAAATATTGTTTGTGTACTTCTTGTTCATACTCTTATTCATTTTATTTTCATTGTTTCAGCTCAATGTTACTCTGTGTCTTAACACTCAGTTCCCATAAATGTTTTTCTGCATAAAACAGTTTGTTTAAATAATCATCCTCCAGCAGTCACATGACGCATGTGTAAAAAAAGCCAGCATTGAGGAGCAAGGTTGTAATTGTACAAAGTTCTGACCTGATGGGTATTATTATGTTTTTCTCTAATGCAGGTCATTGATTCCGATCTACGTGTGCTGGTGAACAAAGTAGAGGTGACATGTGTCCTTTACATTGGCTTGTTTCAGCAGAAACCTGTTCCCCAGCTCTCTGCTGTTGTGGGCACAAGCCTCTGTGCGTGGACAAATGAAACCACTTACAAAGGAAGTTCCAATTTCCGTGGGCCAAATATTCCTTGCATACCCATATGGTTACAAAGACAATAACACTTTTTGGTTCCACTTTTTTATAGATGAAATTTCCAGAAGAGGCTCACTGGATCTGCCCCATAAAGACTGGAGGCCACTGGGTGTTAGTGGTCGTCCTCATGGAGGATAAATCAGTATTGCTCATTGACCCCATGGGAAACGAGGCCCTTTACAAAACAAACATCCTCAAAAACTGGAGGTTTGTCCTATCTGAAAAGTTATCATGAGACTTGTTTTGTAACTGTTCATCTCACTTTAGGAAGTTTCTGAGGCAGGCGAATAGAGCCAGTGGTCAATGGACTGGGAGTGTGCTCAAGCACCAGCTACAAATTGACACCTCTAGTTGTGGCATTTTTATTTTAAAGGTGATTCTGTAATTATTTATTCTTCTTTGAAGGCATAGTGACATGTCCTATTAGCTGTATATATAGTTTGCCGAGGCATGGTTCCTCCAGGGCCATTTGGATGCTGTGTGCACAAACTACAAATTTATTGCTGCAGCGTGTCTGGAAGTGGCATGTACGCTGCTTCAGCGAGGAGGTTATTATCGTCCTTACTTTTGAAATGTTATACCTGGGTTAATCAACAAAACTGAGACTGAAACATTGTGTTTATTTGTAGGTGAAGATGACTGCTGTGGTGTGTGTTGTTTCCACTTAAGTGGAGATGAAAAGGTATTTTCCTCTTATAACCCTACAGCATGTGTTTCTGGAATGACTAAAGTTTACTTATTTTGGATAGGTGCAGTGTTGTGCGGCGACTTCACACATTTTGATTGCACCAACAAAAAAGCGCCTTTGGTAGCATGTAATAAATAGAAAAAAGTGTTGGCCACACATGTCAGAGTAATTGTATTTTTATAAAATGTACCATGTTGCAACAGTGGTTTCTGGTCTTTGTTTTACCTTGTGCTTTTCAGAATCATAATTTTTGTTTTGCTCTACATCTGAGGCTATGGTGCAAAGTCCCTGGTTATCTATGCATTTATTTTTAATTACTATTCAAACAAGGGTTCTAAAATCAAAATATTGGAAAGTCAGAGGTAACAACATTTCAGAACACAACAGTGTGACAGCAAGATATACCTCTATCAATCTTGTGACATGTGGTTGTATACTACACAAATTATTGGGATTAGTAGTGTTGGAAATGTGTATTTATAATTAAACTGTCCTCTGTTCATATGTAATGTGATGGTGTTTCTGTAGCTACATAAAACATATAAAATTAATCGAATGTAACATGTGTAATCTTGTTATTCGGTATGGATACATTACAATACAATCGTTAATAATCCCATATCAACATAGTAAACTGTAGAGTTGCCACAGGACGCGTCATCAGCCTGCGTCCGCAGCCGAGGACTGCTATCATAACATTAGCTTTGTGGTTTCACAGGCAGAGTTGACTGCTTAAACTAAACTTTACACGAAACTTTGACTCTTAAAACCCACATGTGACAACGCGGAACCATCAACATCTCGCCTCAAATTGCATTAAAAGTGACATTCGTGTCTTATTTCGTTCGTATTATAACTTTTAAAGCAATTCTCGGACTTTCTGTCCGCCATCTTGGTTTGTTTCGGCTGCCGTGAGACGCGCATGCGCGCAGGTTTGCATTACATCATTAACAGCTGAGCATTACATAAGCGTCACTTTTCGGCAGAGCGGCACAACTCGGCAGAACACCGGGTTTAAGCAGCAAAACCCTCAACATTATATATCCTTCCCATAGACCAGGGGTCGGCAACCCGCGGCTCCGGAGCCGCATGCGGCTCTTGAGTGCTCCTGGAGTGGCTCCTGGAGCCTTTTCAAAAATGTCTGAAAATGGAGTGTGAGGGCTATATTTTATTTCTAGTTTGAATGTGGTTTCTGTAGAAGGAAAAAACAATCTTTACGTTTTTAAATGCTGTAAAAATATGTATAAGTAATATCTAATTTCAACATTTCTGTCAACGTAGTGCGTCATATCCTATGACGCGCGGTCACGCGGCCCCGCCCCATGCGGCCGCTGCTGTAAACAAACCGGCGTGTGTGCATCATAGACTGTAAGTGCACATTGATCCCAAAGCTAAAACGAGAAAGAGTCGATAACAAGACTGGACTAAGAATAAGAATGAACATTTTCTTTCAGTCAATGAGGAAGGACTGCTTCATGTTTGTAATGAAAAGTTTTGTTGCAACACGAGGAACAATGACGCACAAAACGACGTAAACGGTGATTACGTGAAGGATTCTTTCATCAAAAATTCAGAGCACCTATTTTCAGACTTCAAAACCTTCTCAAAGACGGTGAAAGAAAAGGCCATTAAGGATTTTGATTCAGCTCCAGCAAACTTCAGCCTGTGACGTGATGGATATGAGCAGACAGTGATGCAGGTATGTGACCTCTGAGCCCAAAGCAGATTGATTTACTGTATTTCTACAATTGCATGAAGGCAAAAAAATGGAAGTTAAACTAAAGCAGAGTTGTCCCGTGTTGCGTCATTCACGACACGCGTGGTGCGACACGCTGCAGTGAAAATACACATTTGATAATCATGAATGATTATTATGTATTTGTAGCCTTTACTTTGTCATTTAGATATTAGGATAATATAGCTAATACATCTTGCAGCCTGTGTTAACTTCATAAAATCCTTATACAAGGCTGTTATTTTTTTGCGGCTCCAGACAGATGTTGTTTTTAGTTTTTTTGTCAATTATGGCTCTTTGAACATTTTGGGTTACCGACCCCTGCCATAGACCCATGAAGGACCGGAGACTCGGGCCCTGCCACTGCCTGCTCGGGGGGACTTACGGCTGGCAGAGCTTCACCAGGTCCTGGTCGCTGGTCCCTGGATGAAGGCCCCTGATGTAGAGGTTGGTCTTGCTCAGCTGTTCCCCGCCGCTGCTGCTGTTACTGCTGCTGGTGTTGGGACTGGGGGGCGCCATCTGGTGGCCGGGGGACACATAGGACTGCTGCAGGAGAGAGAGACGGGGAGGACACACGTTATCAATTATTTAAACAGTTCTCAACGAATTTAGTAATCAATGAATCCTGAAACCTTCTACAGACTGTGGAAATGTATTTAGCTTATTTAATTTCAATAACGTGAGTTCAGTTGTTTGATATCTGGGCTGATGCAGACAGGCTTTAACAGAGGAGCTTTCAGATTTATATGGGTTCGGTGTCACCCTGAAGTGATTGATAAGAAATCTGTTTAATCTCTAATCTCCCTCCGTACCCCTCTCCAAACTCTCACTCACTCTCCTCTCTTCAAACTCTCACTGAATATAAATGGACAAACAGTTTGCTTCTATCACCTGTTCCCTGTCACATCTTTAGATCAGCTTTTTCAGACAGAAAAGTGAAAAAGAGAGGACCACCCTCACTCAGCCAATCAGCTCTCAGTCCAGAGAGTCAACTGGTGACTCACAGGGCTCTCTCTTACACAAAAAATATCATGTTTGAATTCCTTAAATTAATTTGACCAAACAACTGGCTGTGGTATAATAGCTATTCTCTTGCCAAAGGACACAACAGTCTTGAGCCACTGTAGCCCCTGCTATCACAGCAGTCTCCTATTTACTACACAAATATAACCAAGGAAGACTTTTCAATAATAGCTGATATAAACACAATTTCAGATTCAATGTATTTGTGTAAAGCCCTAAATCACAACCGCAGTCCGAGACGGAGGACTTTACAAAGTTGTTGATTCACCAACAACAGATCAGAGAATCAAACAGTAGCAATCAAACCTGTGGTCATTGGTCCATAGGGAGTGGGATGACCACTGTGAAAGTTAATTAATGTTCACAAATGTCCCGAATCATCACTGTCCTTAGACCCTCCTTTATGGACCAGGAATGATTCAGAAACCCTTGACCCTTTGAAACCCAAATTTCGGGTCATTCAGATCAACCCCAGTGTAGTATTTCCACTTGTCGGTCACACACAGTCATAAACATACATTTTTTGCAGAAAACACGATACCTTCTCAAAACCAGACTACGCTCCTTAAACCAGAGAAAAACAGATCCACCAGGTCCGCGAGTCTCTCTCCTCTGCACATGACGGCCGAGCGACCTCTGCTCCACTGACATAACATGTTTGTGCTGTGAGAAGCGGGTCAGGGACAGAGGGACAGGCTCTGACCGCTGCTAACTACAGCAGACGGTGCTGACAGGAAGACATCGGCCTAATTATGGATTATACACTGAAAGAAGTGACAACAAATTTGTTCAAGATTGACTAGATTGAGTAATAAGGAGAGAAGAAAGAGAAGCGACCAAAGACTAGAGAGAGACCAGAGAGAGAGGGATCAGAGAAATCAGAGAGACCAGAGACTAGAGAGAGTCAGAGAGAGAGACCAGAAAGAACAGAGACTAGAGAGAGTCAGAGCAAGAGACCAGAGAGGGATAGGAGAGACCAGAGAGAGAGAGACCAGAGAGATCAGTAAGAGAGGGATCAGAGAAATCAGAGAGACAAGAGACAAGAGACAGAGAGAGGGATCAGAGAGAAACCAGACTAGCGAGAGACCAGAGAGAGAGGCCAGATAGTTCAGAGAGACCAGAGACTAGAGAGACCAGAGAGGGACCTGAGAGAACAGAGACTAGAGAGATTCAGAGAGAGAGACCAGAGAGAGGAATCAGAGAGACACCAGTGACTAGAGAGAGACCAGAGAGAGGGATCAGAGAGATACCAGAGACTAGAGAGACCAGAGAGAGGGATCGGAGAGATACCAGAGACTAGAGAGAGACCAGAGAGAGGGATCAGAGAGATACCAGAGACTAGAGAGACCAGAGAGAGGGATCGGAGAGTGACAACAGAGAGTCATCAGAGAGACTAGAGACGAGACAGATCAGAGAGAAGGATCAGAGAAAGACCAGAGAGACCGAAAAGAGAAACCAGCAAGGGAGAGATGAGAAAGAGGGACCAGAAAGACCGGCGAGAGTTCAGTGAGGGACAAGATAGACGAGAGATTTCGGCAATAAACCAGAGAGAGAGATGAGAAAGACCAGCGAGAAATCAGAGTGGGACCAGATAGAGGACCTCATTTTAAGGCTCCTCTATAGACAGTGATCCGGGACATTTATTAACACTTGACATTGAATGGAATTGAACCACATTGAACCGTACATTCAGACAGCTCTGATTTACGAATTTACTCCACAATGTGAAATGTAGATAAATGCCATAGTAGCCCTATTTGTAGTCCAACACCTACACAATAACAAACATGGCACCCTAAAAAGCTCAATCAAAGGCAATACTTTTGGTGAAAAAAGCAGAAAAACAGCTCCGCCAATGATGCTACAGTGTGAGGATTGGTCATAGCACTACATGTTTGAAAACAGAGCATTTCGACAGGAGGGGTGGGGGAATAATGTCGTCCATGCGAAGAACAGGATAACCCACAAAGGCCCCATGTTTGTGTCCACGCCCGGCGCCCAGCCCACGTGAGAGAGTTGAACTTGTGTGTTGTCATTCCCAGCACACTGAGGGCTCTAAACTGTGCGGTCAGGTCTGAGTCAGAGGAAGTGGACGGTTGCACAAGAAGCACATGACCCGCTGGACTCTCACTGGAGACGATAGACTGGCCACAGCTTCGGACTTTAGTAAGTATGTAAGTATTTATATAGCGCATCTCACATTGCCGCATCAAACACCCCAATCAACACCGTCCATTCACTCACTCGTTACATTCAGACCTGTTGTACATGTTTTTAGTGGTAGGGGAAACCGTAGCACCTGGAGGAAACCTACGCAGACACGGGAACATGGAAACCTCACACAGAAAGGGGTCGAGGTGAAATCGAACCCAGGACCTTCTTGCTGTGAAACACAAGCTCGGAGCCAACGTGTCGCCGCTTAAAGTTTTAACATAGCTCCGCCAATACCGCCAGTGCTATGAGAGAAACAAGAGAGAGACCAGAGAAGAGACACCAGAGATGGGAGAGACAGACGGGAGAGCGAGATCAGAGAGAGAGACAAGAGAGAGAGTCCAAAGAGACCGGAGAGAGAAAGAGAGACCAGTGAGAGACGATAGAGATTGGAGAGAGATGGGAGAGACGGATCAGAGAGAGAGACAAGAGAGAGTCCAAAGAGACCGGAAAGAGAAAGAGAGACCAGAGAGACAAGAGAGAGAGTTCAAAGAGACCGGAGAGACCGGAGAGAGATAAAGAGACCAGAGTGAGAGACGATAGAGCGATTGGAGAGAGACAGGAGAGACAGATCAGAGAGAGACCAGAGAGAGACCAGAGAGAGTTCAAAGAGAACGGAAAGAGAAAGAGAGACCGGAGAGAGAAAGAGAGAGACCAGAGAGAGTCCAAAGAGAACAGAAAGAGAAAATGAGACCGGAGAGAGAAAGAGAGAGACAAAAGAAAGACAAGAGTGAGAGTTCAAAGAGACCAGAGAGAGAGACAAGAGAGAGTCAAGAGAGAGAGACCAAAGAGACCAGAAAGAGAGAGAGACCAGAGACACAGGAGAGAGAAAGAGAGACCACAGAGACAAGAGAGAAAGAGAGAGAGACCAAAGAGACTGGAGAGGGAGAGAGAGACCAGAGAGAGATCCAAACCCTGAGTTTACCTCGAGCAGCTCTGATAATATTATAATATTCTCAAACGTCAGAGAGACTTCCGCTCTGTGTTCCTTCAGATCCGAGGAGTCACCTCTGACCACATCCTAAAATACCTCCTCCGGAAACAACAGGAAACGCTATTTATACTGAGCCGACGAGCAACGTTAGAGAAATACACACTTTCCACCGACTGGACCAGGACCAGCACCATTCTGCCAACTTAGATATTTCACACATCTCTGGACAGTGGTCGCCCCGTGCCCTATGGACCGATGGCTCCTATGTGTTTGTTATTAAAGCCTTTCCTATTTTCGCACTATTTATGGTTTGATTCTCTGATCTGTTGTTGGCAAATCAACAACTTGGTATAGTCCTCTGAGACGACTGCTGCTGCGACTTAAAGGCACACCGTGTAACTCTTGGCCACTAGGGGCGCTAGACCTGCAACTTTCACGTTTAGCGCCCCTAGTGGCGACAAGCAACTCAGCACTGTCGCAAAAGTCAACAAACAGTCAGCCGGTGTCTTTTGAGTGTGTATTCAGACAGTAGTGGACCTGTTGGTTGAAGTCTTCACTTACCAGTCTAATAACGAAGTTGAAAAAACAGAATCAGATTTACATCCAGCTTCTTCTTTCAACCTGCGCCAACGAGCAAACTCCTTTCCTAGATCGACCCTTGTTTTTCCTCGAACACGATCCCTTTCGCGTTTCCTCTTTTTAGCCTCCTCCGAAGGTTTAAACTTTTTCCTTGCCTCAGCCATGACCAGGAGTCGAGCAGGTGAAAAATGAGTAGCAAAAGCCTTAGCTCCATGAGTATATCAGCGCCTGTAGCCGTAAAGCAAATCTTTCTTCCAAGTCACGTGACCTGGTAAACGACGGTGCGTCTGCTCTAAACTTACATGGGCGGTATTTCAAGAGGGCAGCCCCGCTCGGAGCATTGCAAGTGTCAAGCGCTGTATATTGGCCCAAGTATTCATATAAAATAACTCATATGTGTCAACTCTTTAGGTCACAAAGTCCGCGGTGTGCCTTTAAGGCGATCCACAAATACACTGTTTTGAACTGAATTTAACCAAGATTGTGTTTGGGATTTCTTGTACGTTTAAAAAAAATAAATAAATAAATAAAGGTTTAGAGAAAAAATACATGAAGAGAGTTCCGTTGGAAAAACAGAGAGAGACCAGAGAGAGACCAGAGAGAGAGACCAGAGAGAGACCAGGGACCAGAGAGAGAGACCAAAGAGAGACCAGAGATAAACCAGAGAGAGATACCAGAAAGAGACCAGAGAGAGACCAAAGAGAGACCAAAGAGAGAGACCAGAGAGAGACCAAAGAGAGAGACCAGAGAGAGACCAGAAGGAGACCAAAGAGAGAGACCAGAGAGAGACCAAAGAGAG